TTAAAGCACTGACCTGGTATTTGGAAGACCCAAGTTCAATTCCCTGCTGTGCTCTGGATTCCTGGTGACTTTGGACAAGTCACTTAGCCTCTCTGTGCCTCAGGTCCCCATCTGTAATATGGAAATAATATCCCATCCCTACTTCCCAGGTGGGGTAATGATCTGTTGACTGATACTCTCAGATACAATGATGATGAGACCATAGGGATAGATAGATGGAATTTTTCCATTGATTTTAATGGGAATTAGAGCAGGTCCTAGAACAATGAGGGAGCCAGTCAGAACATACCCACTCTAGAACACTGGTCAGATAGGCTTCATAGAGCCATCTGTTTGAAGCCCAGAACAGAGCAATGTGATCTAGCCAGACCGGCTGCATAACACAAGCCATGGATCCTCACCCTGTGATTCCAATGTCAATCATCCTGTCTCAGCATTCGTCCTTCTTTGTTAAGGAATACAGCTACCTTGAAGGATGCCTCTCTGTCGCTGCCCCTCTTCCTTATCAGTCTTTCTGCGTCTATCAGTGTTATTCCTAAATGACTTGAGACGCTGTATGTTTAGGCTGAGATTTTTAAAACAGATGGGGATTTGGGGCATCTAAATCCCCAGTGGACTTTGAAAGCCCCGTCCTTGATGTATATAAAAAGCAATTGGGCGATGGCATGTTAGGGTCTAAATCCATAGAAGTCAATTCCTTTAAATGTGTAATCGGTGTGTAATCGGTGTGTAATTGTGGTACTAAGCACTATTTAGATCATAGCACCATTGGCATATATGGGGTGACAGGGAAATTATGCCCCAAGGCGTTTATACTCTAAGGCCTCGGTTCTCCAAGGCGTTACTTCCCCATGGAGATTCCCATTGAATTGTCACACAATGAGCCTGTGAAGGGCCTGAGTTAATGGGGGTTACGTAAGGAGCAAAGAGAAATGGAAGTTAAACACTGTAGCAGCATCGCTTTGCCGATGGTCTTGTGGATGGTCGAGCTCCCAGCCTGCCCTTGGTAAAAGCATTGTGCGGTGGCAGCCCTTGGTCATTGTTCCAGGGCAGCCAATAATTTTTCCCAGTTCCCAGCCTGTGTAGTTGGGCTGGGCACTAGGAAAACTTGGTTGTGGGCAAGGGGGAGAATGAAGGAAGCGGCTTTTCCTCCCCAAGCCCTCGGTGTGATTTGGAATCCAATGTCTAGAGGCTACTTCAGCCCAGGTGGCAGCAATCCCACCACTGCAGGGAGCCCCTGCAGAGCTTGGCTGCCTCACGTGGGGTGTGTACCCCTTGTATACTTCTCCCCTCTTGCCCCGTGGAACTGCACTGGTTGCATTACCAACCAAGGGGGACCCTGCTGTCTTGGGAGCTGGATGCACCTGTGAACATCCTTAGCTGCGCATGCACTCACTAAAGGCACTTTTCCAAGTCTTCTCACTATGGCTGTTGAATTGGTCAGTGAAGAGGAGCAGGTCTTGCTTCAGGCTTTGGAGACCCCCAGTACAACGTGTGCTGCACAGTCTGGCACATGGAAGCGGCAACCCCCCTGGATTTTTCACTTGGAAGATAGAAATGTTGTGCTGTGAACAGCACCATAGAGCCAGGCTGATGTTTGGTTTATTTGATTTTACTCAAATTCTGTTTTCCCCTGTTACTGAATGAGGCAGCGCTCCAGGGACTGGCACTGTGTATCTCTTGCATGCCCGAGGGGAGCTCTGGGGCTGGTAGTCTGACAACTTGATGGTTTTTTCTATTCAAGTGGGGTTCGGAACTGAAACTCCAGAGCCAAATACTCCCAAACTTTGGGCTGCTTAAACTTCAAGTTTCTTTGCTTTCTAGCAACAGAAGCTGCAACTCTGCAGTTACTCACTGTCTTTCTTATTTCAGAGTATCTTGGACAAATGACTGGGCCTGCCCAAGAGAGATCCATTGGGAAGGACTTCCTTTTAGCCAAGACTCTTAGCGTGTTGAGCGCCACGTTAAGCAATCTCTTAAGTGCTCTGTACAGCAGGATGCATTTCACTGTTTGCGGTGTGTGTACTGGCGGTGTTGTGCAATAAACAATCTCCACCCAGTGGAGGACAGTGAAATGTTAGTTTATTTACACAGACCCAAGAGGGGAAAAGGGCACTTATCTATGCTTCGGCACAAGCAATGTGAACAGAGAGCTTCGCTCACATCAGTAGCTGAAAGGTTTGCACTACTCAGAATACACACAAGAAATGGGCACAAAATATGAAAACTGACCTGGTGTTAGGTAAACTGTAATTCTGTTCTCAGTTACGGTTCTAAGAAACATTTCTTAAATCAAGACGGAAAGAAGCTTTCAGATTTTGTGATACATTAGCAGCTGGATCCAAAGCCCACTGAAAGCCTTTGGAAAGGCTCCTGTTAAGCTTCGGATCAAGGCCCTGTTTCCTCACTAAGAAACATTATTCACCTCACGCCTGTTAATGAAGAACCAGAACTTCCGGGTCTTCGGATTTGCTGAAAGCATTATTTGTGTCAGGAGAGCTATGCCAGTTTACAACCTCTGGGGAAGCAGTCCGTTTATTCCATCATATGGGAAGGAGCAGTAATTAACCAAGTATCAAAAAGTACACTACAGAAATCCATATTTAATTAACACACCCACATTGATTGCCTCCCAAAGGTGCAGTGCAGATGCTGAGCCATGACATTTGATTTTCTGACTTAGCATGAAGAAGCTGGTCATTAGTGTCCTTTTATTTCCTACTTCCTTCTGCTGCCCAAGTTTTGGAGAGAAGGAAAATGAAAGGCTTTAACGTGTTGCTTTGTGTGGAACTCCCATGATCACAACTGGGGTGTGAGAGAACACAATAAATCCCCCCTGAATCTGTGATTGATGGGAGTTAAGCATTTTAAAATCAAATCACAAGGGTCATGTTACTAAAAAGGCAGAATAATCTGTAGCACCCAACTCGGATCAGCTTGGCATTTCATGGCAATAGCGAGAGGCCCTTCTACCGTACAGCTTGTACTGCGGCTGCCTCCCTACCCAGTTCATGTCCACACACGCTGTTGGCAACGTAATCATGTTGGATACACCATGCTTTGATTTTTCTCATGAACATCATTATTAGGCTGTAACTAGGTTCTAAATGGTCCTTCCTCATTACAGCAGATAACCACCTAACCGTGTGTGCAATGCCAGCCAGTTCTCCTGCCTCCTCGCTGTGTGAGTGGGAGGTCAGCCTGCCCTAAAGCTCATTGGGCCTTATTAAACACCCACAATCTTCTGCCCCTCTCCCCCAGCAGCTGAGTCAGAGTGGGATAGCTGTCCATAACGTACAGCTACAAACATGACTGTGCAGCATGGCATGTGCAGTCAGACCAACACCGACATACAGTTGTGCTTGGATAGGAGCTGCACTGTAGATGGGGTGGGGGGGGTGGGGTCTCTTGCTCAGTTCCCTGCCAGCACGTTCTCACGCTCAGGGATTCTCAAACTTTTTTTTGCTGGGACCCTCTTTGAAAATATCTCTGACTGTGATGACCCTCCCCCTCCCCAAAAAAGTGACAACCCCCCCCCCTTACCATACTATGCCACCCTTACTTCTGCGCAGCTGCTGCCTTCAATGCTGCGAGGAGCCTGGCCAGCAGCCCCTGCTCTCCAGCCACCCAGCTGTAAAGGGCTTGGGCTGACAGCCGGAGCCCTAGCACACCTGGGGGTTGATAGCTGGAGCCCTGACATGTGTGAGGCTGACAGCTCGCAACGGCCCCCCGAAATAATCTTGTGACCCCCCCCGAGGGGTCACGACCCCCAGTTTGAGAACCCGTGCGCTCCAGATGTTTCACTCTCTGCCTAAATTAAATTCAGTGGGCCGGCTCTGGAGCTGCATTGACTTGGCTGGAGCTACACATGCTCACGTGAGCGAGACTCTGACTCCTTTGCAATGTCTAGACACGCGGCCCTGCTTGTGACTCATCCATCCCACCCACCCACTGCACTAACATTGCTACACAAGTTACGCCGTGTCAGGCTACCATCTCCTTAACCAGGGAGCGTTCTCAGGCTGTGCAATCCTCTCCCAGATAATGCAATGCCTGCTCTACAGAGAGTGCAAACACCCTGGGGCTGCATGAGACATGACATTAGAAAAAGGCATATTATTAAAGTCAAATGTTACTTAAAGTCTTCAACACCTGAGCTAGAAGACAGCTCTGGGAGGCACCAGACCAGCTGCTGCTCTATAGAGAAGATAGAAAAGGGGCTTGGGGCCAGTTGTGTGTGGGGCTCTTTTCACCCCTGCTCACCTTGACCTGCTGCTTTCATGTCTTCCCCCTGCCCCTTCTCTTGCCCTTGTCCATCTCCTCCTCATGCTATAGGCAAGCAGCCTCTTGAGGCTAATTCACCTCCCCCTGAAAACACTTACTTTGGCCACTGAATTCAACTGGAGCCGGATTAGACCCCTAAAGCTTTTCTGCTAGTGCTGGAACTACTTCTGTGAGGCCAGCAGCAGCAAAGACCAACCCCCTTGTGTAAACATGAACTCCAGTACAAGATGTCAGGAGGAGAGCCCCTCTCCAGCCTCAGGCTGGCCGGGAGAGGGCTGGACTGACACCAACTGAATTAAACCCTAGCCCATGTAAAGGGATTTGCTTCTATTTGGAAGTTGCAGTACAGCTGCTCAGGTGCTGGTCCTCTAGGTTAGCCCCTGATGGGAACCTGTCAAAGAAGTGACATTCCACCTAGGAGCAGGCAGTTGTGCACATACCCATTTACTAGTGATTTGTGGGTGGACGGGGTGGGCTCAGTTTGTGGGTGCTGGCTTGACAGCCTTTGAGAGGGCAGGTGCTCTGCATGTTCTGACAATCAGGCCCTTTTAAAAAATGTCCCCCCAAATCACTTTTGAAAATTTAAGTCAAAATCCATTTGGATGAAACCCAGAGCCCCTGTGCTAATAAAAGGAAGCTAAAAACCAAACATGCACAACTTACTTATGCAACCTAAGCAATAAAGAAAACCTAGGGAAAGTACCACAGCGGGGCATGTGTTCTATAAATTATACTTTAATATTAGTGCTTAACATTCTGCCAGACACACCAGGTGAAATCCAGGCCCCTCTGATGTCAATGGCAGGACGCCCATTGATTCAGCAGGGCCAGGATTTCACTCACCCTTTGTAAGGCATGTTGGGCTCCATCAGTGCATAGGTTTGGGAAGACCTGCTTCCCTGATTTCTACCCCCCACCCCTTTTTCTTAAAATGCCCTAGGCTGGTCAAAGGAAGGGCAGAGGATGAGACTTCTTGGAGTCTATTCATTTTTCTATTTAAATCAAACTTTTAGCCGTCAGTCCTTGAGACACTTGCATTTTTGTTCCTCACAGCTCAGTCAGGATGACATGTATAAAGATCTAAGCAGCCTTTAAAGGACAAGGAGGAAGCAATCAGAGCTGCTGGTGTGGATGCCAACCTTCGTGTGTGTGTGTAATACACGCACACATTGCAATGACCAAGCGAATTGGCACTCATTTACTGCCTCACTCACCCTCAGTTACTAAGCTCATGGAATGCAAGAAATTTAAAATTAATATAATTGAAACTACCCAGAACCGCGTTAACACAATAAATATAGACAGCTCAGAATTGTGGGGTGGCAAAAAGAGGAAGATACACTCATCATCTCCCTCTTGCTGCTTTCCACAGATGCTCAGTGCTCAGATACCATGGTGATACTCAGGTGTCTTAGCAATAACACAGCTAAGCTAAGACATGGAAGGGTCCTAAAGCTAACATCTGTAGTTGCTTTTGGAGGAAAAAATAATGCCCAGTGTGTGATGTCAGTTTCATACAGGTCTCCTGTCAGAGTCCAAACTGCTTGCGTAACAGTAGCCTACAGCAGTAGGCTTTCCCATACTGATCCAGTGTTGGTCATGACCTAATGTCTTATGACCCATCCCGCTGCACAAGCTTCGTTGCTCTGATTGCACAACATCATGGTGGCAACTAGCGCAATTGTTAACATGGGGAAAGCACCGGCGGTACTTAGTGCCTGTGCAGCTGTTTGAAAGGCAATTAATGAATTGAGATTTTGGCTACGCTGCAGTTAAAAAAATAAAGCGTGAACCATAGTTTAAGAATTGCTGGCCTATGCCCATTAAAACAACTGGTTACCCTGAGCATGTATGGTTAGGAAAGTGCCAGCTTTATGGATCTGTGCCTATATATGCTGTGTGCTCATCAGATGACTGCAAGCCAGCACGTGCGTGCTGTGGTGTCCGAGGGAAGCGGGACAGAAAAAGGGATAGGGAGGCGGTATGGTGGATTATCCTACATCAACATGGAGTGCATTTCTCTTGTGTGAATGTGCTTTATGGGGCAAGAAGCTGGCAAAGAATGATGTGGGGTGTTGTCGGTGTGACTTGGTTCGGGCAGATGCAGCTCCGTGCTCAAGGATGACAAGGAGTTGTAGGGCACATGGGCTCATACAACATGCACAAGGCCTGAGCACAGCTGGGCCTGCAGACTGACCTCAGGCAGAGTGTGGAGAGGTTAAAATACAGGGTTGAGCTATAAACTTTAATTTATTAGCCAGCCACATTTGGGGGCGCAAGCTACTTTGGAATAGGACTGATCCTGCTCCCAGGAAAGTCAATGGCAAAATTCCATTGGGAGCAGGACCAGCCTCTGTGGTGGCTTCCGGGCCTCCCCTCTGCTACACTGTTCAGGGTGTTACTCATTCTCCTTCTTTCCCCTCTCCTCGCATTGTGGTAAGGGGAGGGCTTGAGGCATGGGCCAGCTGTTTAAAGCAGCCCTCCTAGAGCTTGCTTACTTCAGCCTTCTGTACACTCCTTGCACACAGCTGCAGTCACTCGCAGATCGATGTGACCATGGGTGCTTCCATTTCACAGACCTCTGACAGGCGAGCGCTTGAAAGGGACAGAGCCTGGGGAGAACGTGGAGTCTGTCTCTTCTATAGGGGCCCCTCCCCTGTTCCTAGCCCTGGGTGGAGATTTTTCCATAATGGTTGATCAACTGATTAAAGCCCAGCTCCCCAAGTATTTAGGCTCTGAACTTCCATTCAAATCAGTGGACGTTAGGAGCTGGGCCTTAGCCTCTGTCCCACGGATTAGCTCACCTTGTACTAACCCTGTGATCCCAGGAGAGCTGGCCAGGGCTATTGTACAATCCACCCCAGGAGTTCCTGCTTCGCTCACTTCAGCAACAGGTGGTAAGGATTCCTCCCCTCCCCCGCGTCAACATCCCCATTTCTTAAAAAAAAAAAAACCCTCACCCAGCTTAAAATCCAGCCAGCTCCACAAGATCATTACATGGCAGTGCTGTAGAAGAGTATTCCCCTCCCTGCCTCCTCTTCCCCCACGCCCTGACTTTCTTGCTGACATCCTGAAATAGAGAGGAAGATTCTCTTGCTTCTACCTTCAGAGCACAGTGTCTGGTAGTCTGTTTGTTTCAGCTGGGGGAAAAAAAATCTCTATTTTCAATTGGTGGCCCAGAGTGGGGAAGGCTGAGCTATTGCCATAATATCTGAGCACTTCACATGCATTTCTCCTCACAACAACCCTGTGAGGTAAGGAATTATTCCCATTTTACAGATGGGGAAAGTGAGGCCCAGATGCAGTGACTTGCCCAAGGTCACTAAGAAGGCCAGTGGCACAGCAGAGATTGAACCCAGCTTTACTGAGTCCCAGTGATGTGGCTAAGCCACAAGGCCACCCATCATCTCACCCGCATGTTTTCTGATGGGAGCAAACTGATGCAAGTGGGTGAGGGAAAGGCAGAAGTGTTTTCAAAGGCAGGCCAGTCAGGCAGAGACCTAGGCAAGGACTGGCCAATGCACATGCAGATCGGGTCCTAGGGAGGGGAGAAGGTTCAGTCAATCTGCATGTTGAACTGCTCAATGAGGTCATACAAGCTGTTGAAGCAGCTGGACAGCTGGAGGCTCACGTTCCCGCTGTTCAGGGACGAGGCTCCCTCCCGCAGCACCATGTCGTGGAAATACTCACAGAACTTAGGCACCAGCTGCAAGAGAGAAACAAACACCCCTCAGGAGGCGTTCACCTGCGCTGCCACATTGCTACGCTTTGCCTCTTGTGAAGGAGTCACGTGAATGGGCTCGTCAGAGCCTCCATCTGGTCCCCTGCCCCCGGGGGTGACTGCTGGGGGAGACGTGCTCTGTCAGCAATGCCCAGAGACAAGGAAGTGAGGGCTTGGGGTGCAAGAGTGGGGCAAGTGCATCTCTCACCTATGTCTGGCAACCCCAGATGCAGCCCTGTGCTAGCTGCAACAGTCTGCTGTGGGCTTTGCAAGCATGCAGAATAGCCAGGGTGCAGGTCGGCCTTCGCCACAGCCTTTCCGTGCCTGATCCACCTCTTCCTTCCTTTTGCTTACGCTCTGCATTGGGGGCTGCTGTGAAAGCAGCATCAGGCTGGCTCTGTGCCTGGACTGAAGGGGTTTCCTGCACTGGGGCTCTTCCCTAGAAGGCCCTTATGCCTATGCTGCAGCCCCATCGGATCAGTCTAGGTTCTTATCTTGGTACCCACCGTGGTGGTGTCAGAGTGCTGAACGGTAGGCATTCCCACGCCTCTCGAACAGCGGTGAGCCAGGACTGGTGCGTGCATTGGCAGGGCTCATGGGAGGGGAATTTGGGTAGTCAAAGAGGACTAATAATTAAGCTAGAAAGGGATGCTTCGTTACCCTCCCAGGACTGTAAAGGCAGAGAAGGATTCCCCACGTCTTGCGGTGTGGCTATGAAGTTAAGTGGGTGGGGGTAAATCTCTCCCCGCTGGTTATCCAAGGATCTTCACTCAAGCACTAGCTATTCACCAGCTACACGGACCTTTCCATGCAGAAGAGGGGCGCAGCCTCTTAGCGGCTGTGCGTTAACACTGAAGTCAATGGAGCTGGCCATCAGTGAATGAACACTAACCACTGAACCATCCCGCCAGAGACTAATGATGCTTGGCATTTAGCCAGCGCTAAGGGAGAACGATGCTTCGTGGCTCACCTTCACCAGGATTAACATGGTCTCCTTGGGCTTGGATTTGGAGAAGCACTGCCCAAAGCAAAGGTAGATGGTGAAGTCGGGAGATGCAGCCCTTTGATGTTCCTTAAAATCCTTCAGCTCTGCAAAAAGAACCAGGATGGTTTTAGTAGCGCAAGGACAAGGAAGGCATTCGGTTGGCTGGATTAAATAAACTGCCCTGGGATGGTCAGGAGATAGCTCCTCTCATGGCCACATTCTGATTAGGAGATTCTGCGGTTTCCTCATCCTTACTCCTGGCCATTCTCTCTGCTCTCCGAAGTGCCCAGGCAAAACCTGGAGTCCAGTGCTTATGCAGGTTGGGCTCCAGGCCATAATCAGCCTATGCGCCTCAACCATATTGGAGCCCCATGGTGCAAACATATGGTAAATAAAGTCCCTTGGAGTTTATCTCGGCTAATCTAACTACTACCCATAAATCTGGCCCCATAGAGTAAGAACTACCCGGCCGCAGACTCACCCTTTGAGAACACCTCATAGTCGAAGATCTCCGTCTCTGTGCCACGTGGCAGCAGCTTGGGCTCAGGATTCTGAGCCATGTTCACCAGTTGCCTGGAGAGGGCCCAGAAGACCTTGCATTTATTCAGGCGCTTGGCATAGATCTTCTTGTGCTTCTGCTCCAGCAGCAGCCCTGTGTTCAGGAGCAGCTGCCTAGTGAACTGAACCTGTTTCTGGTCAGGCAGCTCATCTGGGCTTGGGAATTGCACCACCTGCGTGCAGCCCGGGACAACGGTGGTGTCTTCATTATTGTACGTGAACAGGAAGCTGCTGGTGGCCACCTGCACCTCGTGGAGTGGCTTCCCTCGGTAATAGATGGTGACGTCCATATTGGGAGGAATGGTTTCTGCAAGAGATGAGGGAATGCTTGGACTATATAGGAGAGCCTGCCAGGAACAGGTGCTCTCTGGTTCCTAACAGGCTGCTTGCCAAGGGCCCAATGTAATGCTCACTGAAGTCAGTGAAGACACTTTCATTGACCTCAGTGGGTGCTGGATTAGCCCCTGACATGCTGAGCCCATCATCCCCACACCTGGTCTCCACTGGCACCCTTGTTGGGAGTCTCAGCAGAGCATTGCCTGAGTGTTATGGTACCCGTTCATCCCTGCAGTTGGTCCCCACTTTACATGCGAGTGCCATGTCTGTGAACCCCATGGATTTTCCTGGATCCGCCTCTGCAAGGGGAGACGAGGCCGCTGAGATGTGGACGGGGGTGGGGTGGGGTGTCTATTTCAAACCTGAAGCCGAGATGTCTAAACCTACAAGAGAAGTGAAGAGGGCCCTCTAATCTAGGGGTGGGGTGGGAAAGGCCGGTGCCATTTGGTTCCAATAGCTGCGTTTTCCTAAAGAGTTGACTAGTCTGGCCCAGTTCTCGTTCACCTTCAGAGTAAGAGGCAGGGGTGGGTGACTGACTGGACTCTGTGCTTGGGGCAGGTCTCCTTCCCTGGGGCAGGCAGCTGGGGTGGCGTCACTGACCTGTATTGTTCCGCGATGGTGCTGTGTGGGGAGGAGGATGCTGCTCTGGGAGAGGGGCAGCAGGCTGGGTGAACCCGTTCTGCTCCACCACTGCTGGGGCTGCCCACTGATTTGCCAGCTGGTGATAACTGTTCTCTTCCAGGCCATTCAGTGTTGGATAGATCACTGCGTTTCCTGCAGGCGCTTCACTCAGGAAAGTGCTTTGAACACCCGCATGGTTATTGAGGTGAGGTCTCCCCTCAAACAGGACTTCCGCTAGGATGGGGAACAACAGGCTTGTGAGACTGCTAGGCAGTAATGAACACGTTAGTTTCTGCTTAGCTCTGCTCTTCTCACCCACTCTGCTCCGTGTGACTAACTGGTCCTTGTATTCATCCCACGCAACTGTGCTGTGCCCCATGCCTGGAACCCGCCATTGCCGACAGACCTGATCCAATGCCCACTGATACCAACGGGAGTCTTCCAGTAGGCCTAGGAGTCCTTCCACTGACTTTAGTGGGTGTTGGATCAGTCCTCAAGTCAATCATTTTCCACTCTCTTCTAAAGTCCCTCCTGGAAACCCCCTGCTTTGAGCCCTAAACTGTCCAAAAAAAAAAAAAGATAAATTTTTAAAGAGAAGGAAACAACATCATAATTCTGCACAAACGGCAGCACTGCCCAGACACGTGCACTGCGTCACTGCTCGGCTGTTTTGCTTTTGCTGCCTTCCATCCTCCACATTCCGTAGACTGGAAGCTCTTTGGAACAGAGAGTTTATCTCCCTAAAGCACCTCACGGCCTGCTGGTGCAGTATGAATAATTACAAGGGAATGGGGGAAGTTTTACATCTAGCAAAGAGCTTCATTTAGGTGCTGAACTGGAGCTGGGCTTTTCTGGCAAACTGTCTTCACGTGCGGTATCGGCTCTAAGTAGGCTTGGCAGAGCTCGGTGTTTATTTCTGATAACTGATGGATAAGGGCGATGGTTTATTTTTAAGCATTTTTTTCAATTTAAATGTTCACAGTTGTGGGAAATGAAGGGAGGGGGTCAGACAGCAGGGCAGACCAGGCACTAATTCTTTAATGACTGACTTTGATTTCAAAAAAGCTAAAGCTTTCTAACTGTTAGAACATAAATCGTCGACATCACCAGTCAAAATGTACACAGCCCATAGCCTTAAACCAAATGCTAGTAAACTGTTAGCCAGAGTAAGAAAAATGCTGCTTATCTGCATATTTCAGTTTTTATTGATGGAATATTCCTCGGTTTGTGTGTGTAGAGTGAAATCGACGTCTACCGACATTTACGGATAAAAATCTAACCTCCCGAGCCTAGTTACATATCTGATTCATTTGCTCTTGGGGGAGCATATCCTTCCATTGTGGGGCTCAATGACCCGACCAGTGCCTGCTTAAACCAGTCAGCTCTCAGATAATGGGGATATACTGACCTGCGTTATTAAGAAGCTGACTCGTGCCAGGAACTGTGCTGGATGGGAGGGGCTGCTGTAGAAGTGAGGCAGCAGAAGGGCCATAAGCATTTTGCATGGTTTGAGTCTCTGCCATAGTTTGGGTCACCCACTGGCCAACTGATTGGTGATAGTCCTCCACTGGTCCATTTGCCATCTCGCTCCCCTGCTGTGGGTAGCTATTTTGGCCAATATGTTGGTTTGGATAGCCTGGGGGAAAGAAGCGCAGTGTTAATTACCAGAGTTGGGTAAAGCACTGCAGCATGCTAGCAATTGCATTAGACAATTCAGTAGCTGCTGAGCGTGCTCTGTCACTTTTTGGAAATGCTGCAAGATCTTCCTATTGAATAAAGCTTTGCCATCGCAATGCTCTCCCCATGCTTCCCAACCCTACCCGGAACCTCACTTCTGGGAATCCAAACAGGGAGAGGAGATAGATTTCATTGCTATTGACTGACCCTGACCTCGGAGGTTGATCCACCCAGCTGTAACACACCCGATGTGGGTGAGTGGCTCAGTGCAGGGCCCTTGCTGCCCATCGCTAGCACAGGTCTGGTCTTGGGGTGGGCAGGGTGAATGACCCTTGCCATTTGTTTGAGATGTGGTGCCAGAGCTTCCGAGCCTGAAGGTCAGACATCTCAGAAAGGGCAGGGTGGGAGGGTCCCAATCAAAAATTTGGCTCGCTTTCCACTGCTGAGGCAGGCGTGGAACTTACCCAGCAGGACTCCCATGGTGTCAGTAACCCATCTTGCTCTCAAATCATCACGCAAGTCCCCGAAAATAACCATCCCCCAGCCCCCAATTTGGGGCTCTTTTTATTTGCCTCTGAAGTTCACGATTTCAAGCTGTTCTCTGCAACCATGAGGGCTAGAAACTTATCTTTCATTTAAAAAATGAGAAATGGGAATTTTGAGTCATCCCATGACTCCAGGAGCTGGGGCTTTACAACAAGATATCAAATAGCCCAGGACTCAATGCTTAAAATCCTGAGAATGGACAACACTGTTCCCTTATGTGGGGGAGTCCCCAGCAGGAGCCAGAGTCAGCACAGCTGGCTCCTAGATGTCGTCCCAGCAGTGGGCATGCAGGAGGAGGGGGGTCACAGCTGGAGTTCTAGCCTATGGGGCAGAGAATCAGAATGGCTCTTGTCTTTCCTTTCTCCTGGGCTGCCCTGGATGACTGTATGGGGAAGGGGAGTAAGTCCTTTGCCTGGCTCTCCCCCAGGACCCACACCGTGCTAGTCAAACTCTTGTCCTGCTTTCCCTACAGCTCCCATAGCCCCACGGGGAAGAGAGCAACCTCTCTTGCCTGTAATGCAGCAGGCACCCAGCAGGGGTGCTGCTGAGCAGCTGCAAGGGGAAAGGGAGAGTAGCCGCTCCCTGTGCTTCTGGCTCACACCAAAGCTGCTGAGGGAGATACAGTGGGCGTTGGCTGGGCAGCGGCGCTCCCCCCACCTCGCTGCAGCAACCGGGCTGATACAAAGTCACACTGTGCTGCTCAGGGACACGCGTTCAGCGAGGACCAAGTATGAATTTACTTCTACACAGTTGCCCCTGGGGAGGGGGGCACAATTAAGAGCCTCGAGGGCCACGGGGTGGGCACCCCTGCTTTAGGTCCTCTCCATTGCTGTTGCTTGGATGCCGTACAATAACCTGCCACTTAGTTTCTGAGCCGAGTACATGGGGTGGAGCAGCTGTTTAGAGGGATACCTCCCAGACCACTTCCCTGCAGCCCATCGGCTTCCTGTCTGGGACTGTCCGCACTGTGGGAGGAGGCTCTGCTGGCATGGGACGGTGAAGAACCACAGCTCTCGACCAGCACATCAGAAGGAAGGGCAGGATTCCCTCATCCCTGGAATACAACGGGACTGTCCTGACACTCCCCACCCAACGCTTCTAACACAGACACAGTATGGGAAGTCCAGCGAGAGCCAGCTATATTATGAAACGTAGGCGCCTCTGGGTACAGCTCTACTCTTCGGGGCCTCAGCCTACCTGAACTGTGATCTAAACCTCCATCCAGAGCCCACGGCAGCTGCTGTGGGCTGCAGCCATTCTGGGTTAAGTTGCACTGTTGCAGAATCCAGTGGAGTGTGTTGGGGCTGCACTGGTAGACATTTGGGGCTGAATTATTGGTGGTATAGTCCTGGGGAGGATTCCTGCCAGGGTCGTAGTCTGGCCTTTCGTTCTGCACGCTATCCATCTCTGTGGAGCAACAGGAGCAGAGGATGGTCTCAATCATACGCACTTCTCTATGCGTGTCACAAGTTTTTCCCCACGCACCTCTCCACCTGCCCCACCAGAAACTGGTTTTCCTCAGCAGTTCACTTTGCATGGTGGAAGCCTGCAATAGCCCTGCTCCTACCCATGGGGTTTGGCTAGGACCTCACCATTCATGGCCAAAGGGAGCTGTTGGGTGTGTGACACTGTTGGCCAAGTCTGTCTCCCTCCTGACCTTAGCACCATGGTTGAACCTGCCCGGGGTTGTTGCCCCTGATGGCATCACGCAGGGGTTCTTTGGCAGACTTGTTGCCACTGACCCACCGACTATGGGGTATTGTCTCTGATTGATTGCTGCGTTGGAAATTGATCTTGAATAGGCTGGTTTTAAAGGCAATCAGACCACAGTCCAACTGCAGGGCACTGAATCTGAACTGAAGTGAACAAGGATTAAACTCGACTGCTTATCGGAGCGAAGGTTTATCAGCGCCACCATATTGTTATTCTCTCCTGACTCCTTCCCTAAGCTCCCTCTAGGGTTCCCAAGCATGTATTACATTTACTCACTCCTGTTCTATTTGTTTAGAATTAAATGCAACACAGACCTTCCAGCAGAATTCCAGACAAGCTGGAAAAGCCTCAGGGCTATTGCACTAGGAGGCAAGGGCTTTGAATCAAAGTCTGTATGCCGCAGGATAATGTCCGGCTAGTTCATCCTGCTTCCTACCCCAGGGCATGTGGAAATGCTGATAGATTCAACCAAGGTGCTGAATGAGTCAGTGGCAGAGCAGGGAAGAGTCCCCCCAGGCTCCCAACTCTCAGTCCAGTGCCCAAGCCAGTAGGCCTTCAGTAAAGAGATCCAAATCCATGAACAAACAATGGAGGAGCACAGGGCCATATGCAGCACCATGGTTTCTATTCTGGGTTTTATCTTCTGGAATTCAATCATTTACATTTACATTTAAAAAGAAATCAGCAAGTAACTTACCTTGGGGAGGGTTTTCCAGTGACAACATCTCCAAATCTAATTCTATCTGCGGCTGCAAAACAAAGCACACGAGGCCATTTACCTTTTGTTTTATTGGATTCATCACAGAGATATGTGAGAGACAATGTGCATCAGTGAAGCAACGTCCCTACAATTAGCTGGGCATTTCTGGGCACCCATTCACAGAGAGACTTTGACCAGTGAAGTGGATTCAGGCATGGCCTCACTCTATTGCTAGACTTGCTGCTTCCCAGTGGCCCAGCAGAAACATGCGAGTCCCAGCTAAGACCAATCTGAGCCAAAGAGAATGGCTATTCTGATGCATGCAAGCCAAATACGCTTTGCATTCTTGACTTGAAGAGGCATCCGAGAGGGGAGGGGCTGAGAAACTGGGAGCCTGCTTGACACAGGGATAAGCACCCCGATGCAAATGGTGGCTTTCGTTATGGACATGAAGGTTTGCAGCTATGCTGGCATATGGCCACTGGTGGCTGGAATGGAGACAATTCTCCCAGTGTGACCCAGGGGCCAAATTCTCAGCTGGTGTGAATTAGAGTAGTTCCACAGCAGCCAATAGAATCTTCCCAAGGTCTCAGGCCTACATGAGAAAGCCGCACCAGGTTAACTTAAAACTGATTTCAGCTAAACTGCTACAAACAACTGGGTGGAACTTATTGCAGTTTAAGAGTAGCTTATTCTAGTGTAGCTTTAAACTGATTCCCAACGGACGTAAGCTAAACCAAACCAAGACTGGTTTAAACCAAACCAGAAGTGTCCGCACAAGGATTTGCTCTGGTTTAGCTTAACTGATTTTGAATCACACCCTTAGTTAAATTTTAGACTTTTCCTGTAGACAAGGCCTCTGAGAGACAGAAGGTTCCTGGAAGAGCTGGAGGGGAGAGAGGGTGTCCTGAATGTTTGGACATGTTCATGCCAAAATCAGAACAGGTAAACTTTGTTCCCTCTTCACCTCAATCCACTGTGTGCATGAAAAGGTTACATTAGTAGCAGACGAAAGCCATTTTCCCCCAGCCAAAAACTTTCATTCCATCGTGGGAAACTTTTTTCACACAGTGAGAAGACTGAGCTGGATCATCTTCTGTGTATTTTGATTTGGTGTTGCAAATATGACCTCTTGCAAAAAGAGATGCATGATCATTTGCCCAGCTGTTTTCCTGGGGCCAGATTCTGTCCCTTCAGCGTACAAGCAACTCCCAGGGACACTGTCTAGAGCAGGGGTCAGCAACCTTTCAGAAGTGGTGTGCCGAGTCTTCATTTATTCGCTCTGATTTAAGGTTTCGCGTGCCAGTAATACATTTTAATGTTTTTAGAAAGTCTCTTTCTATAAGTCTATAATATATAACTAAACTGTTGTTGTATGTAAAGTAAATAGGGTTTTTAAAATGTTTAAGAAACTTCATTTAAAATTAAATTAAAATGCAGAGCCCCCTGGACCGATGGCCAGGACCCGGGCAGTGAGTGCCACTGAAAATCAGCTCATGTGCTGCCTTTGGCACGCATGCCATAGGTTGCCTACCCCTGGTCTAGAGACACAGTCACATGGAGGGCTCTAGTAGTGACGCTGATTGAGTCAGAACTCTACAGCATTGGGGGGGGTGGTGGTGGGGAGTTTATCCATGTTAATTTCCCATGAGCCACCTAAGTTTAGTGAAACGTTATCAGGTTCTGATGATTCCAGGGCTCCTTCAAGCTTAGCACTTCCCCCGCTTCTCCCATCCGCAGTTCTGGTACCTGCAGTTGCTGTGGCATATGGTGGTGCAGATGAGGGGCTTCTTCAGAATGGGGGCTGATGTCCTCTTTACTGGCACGCAGGTTATTGTCTAAAAGACAACAGCAAATTACATAGGGATGGGGAGGAAAAAAGCAGTGGTTTAGCAAATGGAATTTCTGACATGGGAAGTTAAACACGATCCATAGTTCCAAGAAGTGGGATTTGCTTAGGGCCCATATTTTGAAAGCTCTTCACTAATTTGGGGTTCCCTCAAGTTTTAGGAGCCCAACTGGAGACACCAAGGGCCTAACTTCTCAAAAGGGACTGGTGAATTTGGGTGCCCAACTTGAGACACTTTGAAGAGGTCTAGTTTTCGGAGGGCAGATGCAGACCCCTTTCTTAACGTCAGGTCCCTTTGCAGTGTCTCAAGTTGTGCACCCAAAAAATTAGTGGGCACTCCTGAAAATGTTGCCCTTAATGCCACCAGTTTATCTGGTTCTTTGTGATCTTTTGGACACTTTGTTTGGAAGCCTTGAAAGCTGCCCTCAGTTATAGCCTTCACAGCCCCATTGACTTTACAGGGTAGCTCTAA